GAAAAAAAGAAAAAACCTGGCCTGATTATTCAAGTACCATGTTAACCATTTTTTTTTTTGTTATTGTTGTTTTGTTTCTTTGTCGTTGTTTTTATTGTTTATAACTTATTGAAAACAAGAATGCGGTTGAAAACTGAAAGGAAATAGTGAGCTCTTTGAGTTAAATAAATTTTACATTAAAATATTTCATCAACAGGCTACTTTAACAATCACAATGAAAATTATAAGCAAACATTATGCTTCAGGCTGTGTATAGTAAGACTTTTGTGCTTAATATTAGTTTTATTTTTGTATTTTACTACAGATATTCAGGAAGTCTCTTGATCTACAGGTAGCATTCAAGTTGTAGTCAGACCTGGGGGTCCATATTGATTTTCTTCTCTTATGAAAGATTTTATGTTCCCATTGTAATGCACAGATAGTGTGTTGTACATTGTATGGACAGGCAGTATATATAGTGTATGTTGTACATTGTATGTACAAATAGTTTATATATAGTGTGTTGTACATTGTATGCACAAACATTGTATATAGTGTAGTTGCACATTGTATGTACAGATAGTTTATATGGTGTGTGTTGTGCATTGTATGTACAGATAGTTTATATAGTGCATGTTGTACATTGAATATACAGATAGTATATATCGTGTGTGTTGATAGAATTGAAAGTGTAATACTGTTCCTATTTGATTTCCTTCAAAAACTGATGTGAGTTAAAGGGCATAGAAATAAGTAATTCTAAAATAATACTAAAAACTATAATGGCAAAGGTTTTAGGGTATAAAGTGATGTACATAAAGTAGACCTATGCTTTAACCCTAAATGACCAGATTTGTAGCATTACATGTAATAATTATTTCTCTAATGAGTAGCATATCTTTCTTCCATAGTACTGGTAAGCCCTTATGGCTTAAATGGAACACTAACAGGCCAAGCATACAAGATGTCTGACCCAGCCACCCGCAAGTTGATTGAGGAATGGCAGTATTTTTACCCGATGGTGCTAAAAAAGAAGGAGGAGTTGAAAGAGGAAGAAGAGCTGGGATATGATGACGATTTCCCTGTGGCAGTTGAAGTAATTGTTGGTAAGAGAAAATAATTTTACCTGGAGAACTTTACCTTCGTCTTTTTAAAATTTTTTAATTTATTTTTATGTGTATGCGTGTATTGCCTGCATGTAGCTAACTGCACCCATGTCATGCAATGCCCGCAGAGGACAGAAGAGGCTTTTGGATCCCCTGGAACTGGAGTTATAGACAGTTGATAGCTGCCATGTGGGTGCTGGGATTTGAGCCCGGTCTTCTGGAAGAACAGCCAGTGTTCTTAACCACTGAGACACTCTCCAGCCCCAGAACTAACAAAATTCCCTTAAATGGTTGGTGGAAGTCACCATTGAGAACATTTGGGCTTAGTGATTTTTTTTTTAAATTTATCTTATTTTATTTATTTTATTTAATTATTTTAATTTTATGTATAGGCATGTATTACCTACATGTAGGTAAGTGCACTTGAGTTGTGCAATGCCCACGGAGGTCACAAGAGGCTGTCAGATCCCCTGGGACTAGAGTTATAGACAGTTGATAGCTGCCATGTGGGTGCTGGGATTTGAGCCCAGGTCTTCTGCAAGAACAGCCAGTGTTCTTAACCATTGAGCCATCTCTCCAGTCCCTGAGCTTCATCTTTTTTAGTTTCAAAAGATAATTATGCAGATTCATCAGAAACAGCCTCCATAATTTTCCCATCTTATTTTTTATTCTCTTGACATGATGGTATATGCTGAGTAATCCTTCCTGAAGCAGCAATGGTCCTTGTATTTCACATGCTGTTACCATCATATTTGAACACATATTCAAGTAACTGTTAACGAAGGAAGAATGAAACATAACAGTTTGGGCAGTCCTTCATTTCCCCCATCGAGCTCTGACCTGATCACTGTTAATAGTGGGTTTGGTAGTCTTTTGTGGACACTATGTCAGGCCTGGCTCTCTTTCCTTACAGGTGGTGTTCGGATGGTCTACCCTTCAGCTTTTGTTTTGATCTCTCAGAATGACATCCCAGTTCCTCAGGGTGTTGCCAGTGCGGGAGGTCATGTTACAATTGGGCAGCAGGGGCTTGGTAGCATGAAAGACCCAAGTAACTGTGGGATGCCTCTGACTCCACCCACTTCTCCAGAGCAGACCGGTACAGGTGAGTGCTACTGGGGAAGCTCCTGAAAGCCCCAGAAAGTCAGCAGCATGGCAGAATTCCTGGTGGAAGCAATGGAGATAAGAGAGCAACTTAGAGATCTTATAAAATAGGACAGAAAATTTTAAACAAGTAGAATTTATGTGTTTGAGGATTTTAATTGTACCATATTAGTCTTCATTCTGACTTAACAGTGTTGGCACTGTGCCTAAGTTCTACACACACACTTACCCTTCACACTTGTGTCCACATTTACATACATTGGTAGGAAACTGGATGTGGATTGTCTTTTTTTTACTTTTCAAACAAATGGCAAACACTGTAATAGTTACCCCTATGTCACTGTGACCAAAATACTTGACGAGAGAGAAAGGATTCACTTTGGCTTACATTTTCAGAGGAATTAGTCAATAGTTGCGTGACTCCATGTCGTTACACAGAACATCATGGTGGTAGGGAGGTGTGGTGCAGGCAGTATTTTCCTTCTTGAAGACAGGAAGCAAAGAAAAAGAAGGTACAGCAAGTAGCCAGGGCAAGAGAGCAGTCCTAAGGACATGTTCCCAGTGTCCCACTTCATTCAGTGAGGCCCTGTCTGCTGTTTTTCACTGCCTCCCAATGCCATCATACTTTGACCCTACCAACAGTTTAATCCTTTGATTAAATCTGTAGGGCAGGGCTTATAAAGTTTAAAATCGGGATATAACTGACTCTGAAAATGCTATTATAGACATACCAGAGGTGTACTTCACTTGTCCCTCAGGCATTTCCTAGGTCAATCATGTTGATAACATTAACCATCATGAACACCAGACCAGAGATAATTAAAGCCGTTGCCCAAATGATCATTGCTAACCAAGGACAAATATCAAATTATCCTTTTTCCATTTTATTATTAGAGTAGCACCTAGGAGCCCTGAATATATTCTTTGTCCGTGAAAATGAAAATGTTGACACTCCTTCATGGAAAAATTCAAGAATTGCTTGAGTTGAGAACAGGTTTTTTTTTTTTTTGGTCTTTTTGAGACAGGGTCTCCTTGTAGCTGCAGCTGGCCTGGATTCGCTAATGGAGATCAGGCTGGCCTCGAACTCACAGAGATCCGCCTGCCTCTGCCTCCTGAGTGCTCGGATTAAAGGTGTGTACCACCATGCCCAGCTGGGGTTTTTTTTGTTTGTTTGTTTTTAATTGCAAAGTGTAGTCATTATGCTTCTGCTGAAATGAAATTATTCATGGGCATTTGATATGGGCCCTGTTGGTAATGATTTGAGATGCTCTGAAAACAAACTCTGTAGCAGGATGCATATTTACATGATGATTTCTATGATTAGGAAAGATGGCATTTCAAAGTCTTTAACATTTTGCTCACCACAGATAGGCATTCAGTAAATGCTCATGGTTGAAAGCATATTGAGAAACCACAGGCATTGTGATTGAGCAGACCTAACTTTAAAGCCTGACTCTTACAAAATGAGTGACTTCATTCATTCTCATGCTTTATCAGATCCTCAGTTTCCTTTTCTGTTAATACATACTTTACAGAAGTGCTGTAAAAGTATCAGGGAGTGTACATGGAAGCACTTTGTAAATAATACAGCAGTATGCTGTTACAGTCAAAATGTAAAACAATACTCAAGCCTCCAACTTCAGCACACATTATTAAGTTGTCTGTTAGGAATTAGTGATAAAGTATTTTGAAAGAAATAGAAAGTAGTCTGTGTGTTTAAGAGCCATGTAGGGGGAACCTGTGACCCTCTGTCCCCATAGGTTTCTCATCTGTGGATAACACTAACCACAGATCTAAAATATCAAGAAAAAAGCTGGGCGTGGTGGCTCACGCCTTTAATCCCAGCACTTGGGAGGCAGAGGCAGGCAGATCTTTGTGAGTTCCAGGCCAGCCTGGTCTACATAGTGAGTTCCAGGACAGCTGGGGCTACAAGGAGACCCTGTCTCAAAAAGACAAAAAAAAAACACGCCTTTAATCTCAGCATTCCGGAGGCAAAGTCAGGTGGATCTCTATGAGTTCAAGGCCAGCCTGGTCTACATAGAGTTCCAGGACAGCTGGGGCTACAAGGAGACCCTGTCTCAAAAAGACAAAAAAAAAAAGCGAAAAAAAAAGGAAGAAAAAAAAAGAGAAATAAAATATCAAGAAAAACATTTTATCTGTACTAAACACATACAGACTTTTTCCTCCCTTATCAGTGTTCCTTAATCTAGTATAGTAGCTATTCACACAGAACTTACGTTATGTATTACAAGTAATTTGGAGACCACTTAACAGCATACAGGAAGATGTGCTGGGGTAAGTGCAAAGACAATATACTATATGAGGGAGTTGAACCTCCTGGGATGTTGGTATTTGTAGCGAGCCCTGAAAATATTCCCCCGTAGATACTGAGGGATCCTCATATTCCGTCCCCCTTAGTTCTGTATGGGTATGTAATACCAAGCTAGAATCAGAGGAACACCATATAGTGATGGGAGTCCTTTATTAATAGCCAGTGGCCAGAAAGAGGACTAATGTCCAAAAGAACTCTAGACCCTGAGGAGAAGCAGGGCAGGGCTTATAAGGCTTAAAACCACAATAACATCATGCTCGGGGCAAAACCAATTACCATAGTTACATCAGACCAGGGAAGGTCAATTAACAAAGAGGTTTTCAGTTAAAAAAATTTTTGATTAGGATAAAATAAATTTTGCAGAATGCAGAAACGGTGGGCTCCATAGAGATGCAGGTATAGCTGGGAGGGACGTGCTACCTGGCTACTTGTCAGTTTCCCAGTATTGTAGAAATAGTGTACTCCCTGATGCTATGTGCACTAGATGTTCTGCCTGGCTGGTTGCAGTGGGACTGCCTGGGCAAAAACACAGGGTAAAGCAAAATTCAGCTAGAACAAAATAGAGCAAGCTTTGGCATTTCATATATTATATATCCAGGTCTGACAAAGCAGGGAGTCTGGATGATCTCTTCTGAAAAGATCGTTGCCACCAACCAGTTTTTATTATAATTAAATTGAAGGAAAAATACTTTATCTTTTGTCATAATCCTCATAGAGAAGAAAGATTGATAGAAAGACTATAATTGTCAGTATTTTGAAGTTTTAATTTCACTTCAAGGTTTTGATTTGTAAGAGTTGCACTACTTTTTTAATTTTTTGTCAGTTTTAGTTTTATCTGGTTCTTTATCAATTTGTTTCCAGATACTTAGTGAAATTCATGTTCACTTTAAAGTGAAAGACCTGCTGTATACATGATGCCCTTGACTTCTAATCATTTCAGAACTCTTAAGAGTTCATAGTTTAAATCAAGAGCTTTTGTCTATGATGAGTTTTATTATAGTCCTCACAACTCTGGATCTTCACATTCTTTCCCTTTAGCTCTATGTATGCTATTACACTGGGCCTTGGGTAAATAACTCTCCCACTACCACCTTACTTGCTAAAGGAAACAATGTAATTAAAGATTCTGATATCTTTGTAGTAAAATGAATTTGCCCAAATGTCATGTTCCATAGTGCCAATTTACAACTTAGGACTCTTCAAGAAGAATTCTTGGTCGTCCGCCCCCTCCCCTTGCCATTCCAGCATTGAATGTTAGCATGGTTCCCTAGATCTAGTAGCCAAGAGCTCTCTCCTAGATTAGCAGAGGATCTAGAAGGGCCAGACAATTTGGTGAGATCATGTATATCATATCTGGAAGGGAAAGTCTTCCTTGCCTCTTGTGTTTGATGTGTGGAGGTTGTAACTGAAGTTATAACTTTCAGTGTGCATGTATCTAATAGCTTAATTCCATGTAAGATGTGAGCCACATTTTATTTTAGTCAGTAAGTGCTACTGAAAAACATTACTCCAACCTTCATCACAAGCATATTTGTGACTTGTTTTCCCCCACCTTCTTTTGGGGCCACAGATTATTTCCTTAAATGCCATGGACGTTTATTCTCTAGGATGTTTGAGGAGAAATTGTCTTGTTATGTACTTTGTTATCTACCTATTTATCTAGGTTTTTTTGATAGACATTTGAAAACTAATAAAACTGAAGTGAACTCTCCTGCATGGTGAACCAAGTCAACACACTTTTAAAATAACAAGCTAGTAATGGAGGTCCAGATCTCCTGCCTCCTTTAGTTTGTCTCGTCTGTAGTGGTAGTACTTTTCTGGGAACAAGAAGTCTTCAGTCTTTAAAATGTAATCATTCTGTTGTTTGTTTTTTAACTGGAGATAGGCCTAACCATCCAGCAAAGTAATGATGTGTTACATCAACATGGAGAGTAATTTATGTTATAAGGACGCTTCACATATTTTTCAGCTAGCAGTGCAGATTTTCCAAAGTGCTTAAGTTGACTCTTGGTCAAGATGTTTTGTACCTATGTTCTATTAAGAACAAACCCCACAATATACTTATTAAATCAAACAGGTGAAAGTAATCGAAGTGAATGGAAATTGATTTTAGCATTTGTCTTGTATGAAATAGGAGTAGGATCTTCTGAAAGTATCGTCATAGTGTATGTGGTCAAAAGAAATGGGTTACCTGTTCCTTTAAAGATGGAAAAACTAAGTGAATTCCTTTCAGAGAAGCCACTGACTTTTGAATCCTCTGACATAAAATGTTGGGACAACCTTTTTCAGATTTTTTGTACTAAGCCTTGATAACTAGTATCAGAAATCAGACAGACAGTTCCATACACAAATTTGAAATTTGACCTTGTTAAAAGCTTTGTGCTATTAGATTCTGTCTTTTGCCTGCTTGTGTTATAGAACCGTTTAGCTAAACAAGCATAAAGCTTTCTCTGCTATTCTGTTCTGCCTTGAAACACATTTATGTTTATATTTAAAAACTCAAGTATTGAATGTTTACATTTTTATTACTAAAATTATGAGCCCTTCCTTCTAAGTTGTATCCAAAATATGTAGAATAAGAATGCATCTGTATGCATCTCCCCTGGTGGATGTTTACATGTTAATCAGATCAGCTGCTTTAGGGAAAACACAAAGAATCATATAGCCCTGGACAAGTTGGTGTTGACTGGTTAGTTATATGTGTGAGACACAAATTTTACTCATACCTACAGATAGTGTTACAGATAGGGGGTAGGGGACAAAGACTCAGGTGAGTTTGAATAATTGAAATGCAATACAGTTTATGTACCAGGGGACATTTTCCAAATCATCTTTGTTTTCCAGGTGACAGTGGAGGTGTGCAAAGTGCTGCTAGTCACCTAGGTTCCCAAGATGGGGGGATGATAACTATGCATAGTCCAAAGAGATCGGGGAAGATTCCTCCAAAACTCCACAATCATATGGTCCATCGAGTCTGGAAGGAATGCATCCTCAACAGAACCCATTCTAAGTATGTTTTCTGGATCATAGTTTGATAACAGTCTCCTTGATTGCAGAATAAAGAGGGTCAGTCACTTCTTACTACTGTGTGACCAAACCTGAGGGTCTTCACATTTTCATTTTGTGATCTTAATATGATCTGAATATGATTCAGGACAAAGATGTTAAAAATCAAGACATTTATTGGATTTGATTACTGTGGAAAAATTTCAAGTTCCTGATCATCTAAAGACTGACTGGAATGGTGTTGATGTGACCTTGTGGGCAGGGATGTCTCAGAGTTTACCCTGATTGTCAGTGCAGCCGTTGGTTGGGCTTTCTTTTGCATACAGAATTATCAATTATTTCCCAATAAGGGAAATGAGCTTCTTGGACAATTACTGTGATACGTTGGCCTTGTGTTTTAATTGACAGCACATACCTGAATGATGAAATGTAGAGGGCCTATTCAGATTAACCACTCTTTTTCTATTTGTTGATTTGAGGAAACTATGTTTACTCATCCTCTACCCCACTCTACTTCCTTTCTATTCCTTTCTGCTTGCTTTACTTTACTTGTTTTGAGGGAAGAAAGAATTGATTCCAAGAAGAGACTTCTGGTGATTATTTTAATTGTCTAAATGACGATAACAAACAGTAGTCAATAACTGAGTTTCAGCTTATGAAGATTTATGTAAACAGCACAGTTTCATACCTGTTTTAGTATGTATTTTATGCCCACTTTCTTGATTGATACTAGTAAAAAGAATCTTCATTTTCTAGAACACAAGGCTATGGATATTCTTGTTGATAACTGCTAAGAACTACTCATTTGGAAGTAAATTAAATGCTTCTAATGAAACTCCTTTTCAAAGTTATATATAAAGGGGCTGGAGAGATGGCTCAGTTGTTAGAGATCACTTGCTACTCTTGCAGAGGACCTGAGTTCAGTTTCCAGCACCCATGTCAAGCAGCTTACAACTGCCTATAACTCCAGCTCCCGGGGATCCAACATTCTTTCTTGGATTCCTGGGCACCTGCACTCGTGTACACAGACACATAAACATAATTAAAAAGAATCTTTTTAAAACAGCAAGTAAAGTTCTATATACAGATTTAAGACCTGTCCTTTGAATCAGTTTTTTAGCAGATTTATACTAAATACTCATTTCCCAATGAATTGGTTCTAGACTAGGCCACTGAAGATGTAGACAAAATCTAAAATAATTGCCATAAAAAATTATATATTCTAGAAGACTATCTCCAAGCATTTAGAGCTAGTCTTCTCTGTTAGAATAATTGGCACAGATATTTTTACTTATATCTGCAATGCCTAAATAATTTCCAAGTTAGTATTTCTTTTTCATTACCTTGCCATCTTTGGTTGTTAATCTGCACCAGCCTTACGCTTCCACTATCTCTAACAGACCATAGCAACCAGTACAGAATTGGGAAGTGAAACACCAAAGAAGATAGGAAAGGGTATGGTGCAAGAGAACTCCTACAGAGGCACCATTGAGAAACTTGCAGTATCAGCTTTGGGAAATCAGCAATTCAAAAATACTCTCATATTCCGATTTTCACTGGAAATAATAGAGAAGTACATTTTGCTGCATTATGAATGACATATAGGAGATAATTTTTATTTTTGTTTTAGTTCACTTAAAAGTGCTTAGAATACTGTCTTCAAATGTTAGTAAATACATGGGAATTTTGAGAGTGATTTAACAACGTCAGTGTAATTTATAAATGACACCAAAAGGTAATTTAAAACAGATTTTTTTATTCATAATTTAGGTGGCTTTTGTATAACCTGTGAGTACAAGCATGAAGTACTGGGGTTTAAACCCACGGGGCCTTGTATGTGTATAGGTGACTTTTAAAAAATAAACAAGAACTAATAATACCTGATATTGTTCAATTGCTGTATATGCCATCCATGTTAAAATATAAGATAAACTTAGATAGGGATCTTTGAATCCTGCTCCTGGTCAAATAGCAGATAGATGTTTTTAGTTGTTCTGAGCCAATTTGTTAGCAGGATTCCATTACTGTGTATAATGTAGTCAAGCTTTTGTTAAAAACAATTTTCTCTCTAGAGGAATGATTATTATCTCATGTTCGTACAGAAGGTACATTTTTAACCTTTTTAGGAGGAGCCAAATGTCAACTCCAACTCTTGAAGAAGAGCCTGCTAGCAATCCTGCTACTTGGGATTTTGTGGATCCAACCCAAAGAGTCAGCTGTTCTTGTTCCAGGTGGGTTTTTAAAAAAGGCAGACAGACCACAGAGTGGCAGCTCATTCTCGTGGCTCATCTTCTGGCCTCACAGACCACTTCTTCCTGGTCTCTTTGTTGTGTTTTAAGTCTTCTCCAGTAGGGAAGAAGAGAATTAGTCTTTTCTAATATGCAGATGATGCTGTTTTAGTGTCAGGACTCAAGAGTTTTTTATTGAAAATAGGTTGGCTGAAGTCAATAGAATTTTGATTAAGCAGACTTTTTAGGTAAGTTTTGCTATTGATAGTAGTGTTGCTGTTTTTCTCATAACTGATACAGGTATTTGGTAACCCCTTACTAAAGCCACAATTACTGTAGTCATGGTGCCTTAATTGCTAATTCATTGAGGTATTTGGATAGAGCCCTAAATTGTTTTCTGCAGAAAATTTTTGCGTCTTATGATTCACCAATAATTGTGGTAGTAAGGAATCTTGTTGATACTGATTTGTGGTAGGGTTCTTAACATTTTAAGGATACAAACCTTATGTTCCAGTTCAACAAATGGTTAGAATGTGCCTTGATTTTTCACTTACTTCTAAAGCATAGATTTTCCAATTTGACATTGCTCACTACTTACAGGAGGTTCACTTGATATAGGTATATTCAGAAAATGTCCATTCATTTTCAGAAAAGGGGCTTTTAATGTTAGTGAGTGAGATAGGAGATAAAACCCCTTTCCACGCATACACTGACGGGGTAGTGTTAATACCCTCTTCTGTCCCTTCGGCCTCTTGTGGTAATTCTCTTTTTCAGCTTCACCTTGATGGGTAGCCCCTTGTTGAGAAAAGTTAACTTTCAGCATAATCGTACTTACTGCTGAAAGAGGAAGAACATTTTAGAAGAAGTTGTTTGTGCTTTCACTGTCTCCTCTCTGAGCTTGTGAGGATTTCCCTACAGCCTTAGGATGGGTGTGATTTGTAGTAGCTGAATACCTGTTTTACTTTTGTCTCTTGGCTGTTGTGAATCCTGGGGGCAAGGATAGGGTATTCTGTTCTTTTCTAGATTTATAGGCAGCACCCAGCTGAGCTATGGTCTACTTTTAGCAAGTACATGGTATATAAACCGTAGGGTGTTTGACTTGGGACTTTTTCTTACTTTTCCTGATCTTTCCTACAATCTAAATTTTCACTTAATGAAATCTTTTTACTGATTAATACCACATTTTTATTTGCTGCCTTGAATTATTGTATGCCTGCTTTTTGTATGATGCTTTACTTTTTGTGCTCTGGAAAGACTGCTCTAGTTCCTTACCAAATTCTTCTACCTATGCTCTTTCTAATAGTGGTGTTCATACCAGAGTGCCATCCCATTATTCCAGACATGCATCTCCAGACTTTACTTCTCACATATGCTTTAGTACTGAATGCTTAGAGGGCCTTTGAGAAATATCCTTGGGGAACAGGGAGCCTGGAGAGATGGCCCAGTAGTTAAGAGCACTGGCTGCTTGTGCAGAGGACCCAGGTTTGGTTCCCAGTACCCACATGACAGCTAACAGCCATTCTGGTTTTTTCCTTTTCAGCCTCGAAGCTTAATCACTTTTCTTCTAGTATTGTTGCTGCATTCACAGTGACTTGCTCTGAAATGGCTATTACTATCCTTTCCTCTTTCACCACATTTTCTTGCATTGTCTTGCTCTGACTTATGTTTTCTTGTAGCACCCACCACCTAGTGACCGAGGATCCCTCCAGGCTCTTCTTCTTCGGCCTGCCCCAGCCAGGCTCCTGTGGTACTCAGGGGTTTGCTGCATGGTCTCTCAGTTCAGGACACAGTCCTGATTCTAAATATAGAATAATATAGAATAATATAGAATAATATAGAACTGAGTCATTTGATACAGTTGAAAGAGGCCAACTTTATGACATTTATACAGAGGAGTGCATAATGAACTTTCCAGAAGGCCAGTACAGTTAAGCCAGTTAAACCTCTCTAAGAAAACCCAAATCTGTCTATACGTAGAAGATTTTTAATGACACAACTGAGATCTATCTGATGAGATGCTCACTTACTACTGTGGGATGGTGCTTTTGCTGCTTAAAACACACCTTTTGTTGTACTTTTCATAGCCTTATGTTTAGAACACCTTCAAAGTCAGGAATTTTGTTTTATTTTTTAGAGTAGCAAAGAGTTTGGCCAGAATATTTTCAGATTATCTGCTGCAGGATTACTGAACTGGTTATGGAATGACTCCTCTCACTATTTAATGGCCAAATGGAGCAGGGCAGCCATCCTGCTGTCCCACTAAACCATCCCATTATGCCACACAAATCCGTTTTACTGCCCACGAGAGCATCATTTAGTGCAATGCAGCAGTAATTTAATGCCACCCAAGTGGCCTCAGAGAGTTACAGCTACACCAGAGAGCTTATAAGTTTTCCCTAGGAATGATTTATATATTGGGAGGAACTGGCTGACCTGCTATATGACTTTGTTGCACAGATTAAACCTTGGCATCATCTAGTGGAGTCTTGCTGAGTCATTTCTCAGGCCTGTGCATGCCAAGAAGTGTGGGCAGATTTGGTGTTCTTGCTGAGATGAGGTGGGGTTAAGGGACATATGGTGTGTGTGCTGATTCACAACCTTTTTACTTCTGTCCCATTTTGACATTTGTCTGTAAGGTTCAGAGTTGTCTCATGTCTCTTATTTTCTGGCTGCAGTAACAGGTAAGTTCTTAGTATATTTATCCTATTAAGTGATCTTATGATTAAATATTTTTCGTAGTTTCACACTTCAGAGGATGGGACATAGTAATTTACAACACTATAAGCCACATAAACCATTGTGCACTAAGAGTTAGAGTGTTACAAAATAGAAACAGAAATTTTTTGCTTTACTGTGTATTCAATCTTGTAAGGTTTTTAAGATATAGTATGAGTTGGTTGTCTGAAGTTCCCACCTCATTAGCAAGATATGGGATTAGCAGGATATTAATTCATGTTTCTCATTAAGTCTGCCTTTTATCTGCTTGATCTTGTGTGTGATCGACTCTTCAGGTTCTATGAGATGTTTGTAGCCTTAGGCATTATAAGCATAACTAGAATGCAGAGCCCTTTCTGATGTGTTAGTCATTCAGTGTGTGCCTGCAATTCCTTGTCAGAGGCACTTTTGTATGTTACAGTGAGGTAGTTCCTTGTACCTGGGTATTTGTTGACTTTATTTTAATTCTCATTGTAGGCATAAACTTTTAAAACGTTGTACAGTAGGATCCAGTCGACCTCCCACAATGTCTCAACCAGGATTCAGTGCAGGACCATCATCATCTTCATCCTTACCACCTCCTGCTTCTTCTAAGCACAAAACAACAGAAAGACAAGAAAAAGGAGACAAGTTGCAAAAGAGACCCTTGATACCGTTTCACCATAGGCCTTCTGTGGCCGAAGAGTTATGTATGGAACAAGATGCGCCTGGACAGAAGCTAGGGCTGGCAGGGATAGACTCCTCCTTGGAGGTGTCTAGCAGTCGGAAGTATGATAAGCAAATGGCCGTGCCTTCCAGAAATACAAGCAAGCAAATGAATCTGAATCCTATGGATTCACCTCATTCCCCTATTTCCCCTCTGCCACCAACACTCAGCCCTCAGCCACGAGGTCAGGAAACAGAGAGTTTGGACCCACCTTCTGTCCCTGTGAATCCAGCCCTCTATGGGAATGGGCTAGAACTTCAGCAGCTGTCCACTCTGGATGACAGAACTGTGCTCGTAGGCCAAAGACTGCCTCTGATGGCAGAGGTCAGCGAGACAGCCTTATATAGTGGGATTAGGCCCTCAAACCCAGAGGCATCAGATAAATGGTGGCATAGTTTTCGTCTCCCGCCCAGCGAAGATGCTGAGTTCAGGCCTCCAGAGCTCCAGGGAGAGAGATGTGATGCCAAAATGGACTTGAACTCAGAGAGCACTGCACTGCAAAGGTAAGGATATTGCTCTAGGGTGGGACTCTTGAGGTCCCAAGAATGCCTGTCTGTCTCTCCCTGGCTCCTCTCCATCTCTCTTCCCCTCGCTTTGCTAAACCTTCAGTGACAAAATGAAACCAGACCTTTCTTTTCTATTCTAGACTCTGCACATGGGAAATATTTAAAGTCTGGCAAGACAAGCAGCCCCAGACTCCTCCTTGGAGGTGTCTAGCAGTCGGATGTAGCAGTCTGTTCTTAAGAGGCTTTTAAATAATGTGGCATGTAAAGGCCTCTCTGTAGCTTTTTAGGACACTCAGTGTATATTCATTTATTGGGGGCTACTGTTTATTAATTAAGAATACCATTTCATGAGATTTTTCCATATTGCTGTCTTATGTGTGGACACTTTCTTTAGAGGAAGTCTTTGCATACATTTAGCTATGCCATGTATCTAAGAAGTATTAGCATTTATTAGTGCTTGGAATACTATCAAGTATTGTAAATACTTGATATAGATTATCTCATTTAATCTTCACTATAGACATCATTATGCTAGTTTGTGAACTGAAAAACTAGAGTTGAACCCAGGCAGTCTGTCATGATAATCTGTGACAATCTTTATCTGTGATAATCTTTTTTTTTTTTTTTTCCCCGGTCCTTTTGAGACAGGGTCTCCCTGTAGCCACTGCCGTCCTGGAACTCACTATATAGACCAGGCTGGCCTTTGAACTCACCGAGATCCACCTGCCTCTGCCTCCTGAGTGCTGGGATTAAAGGCGTGTGCCACCATGCCCCGGTAACCTGTGTTTTTAATTTAAGAATCTATGGACTCAGAGACAAAAAAAACAAATTAACAAAGCCTTCTAAGTTTTATTTCATCATGATTGAAATCTCAAAAGCCAAAAATAGGATACTGGAGAATATAAATTTTCTTTTTTCTTGATCTGAGTTTGATCCTTGAGATTCATATGGTGAAAGGAGAGAACTGACTCCCTAAGGTTGTCCTTGGAGCTCTGCATTGCACACATACAAAGTAAACAAATGTTTAAAAAATTGTAAAAGCATGACTGTTGCTTTGAAAAACAAATCCATTTGCCTTATATCACTTAAATTATGTTTTATTTCACCTTTCAGACTCTTAGCACAACCTAACAAACGGTTTAAAGTCTGGCAAGACAAGCAGCCCCAGATGCAGCCACTCCACTTCCTCGACCCATTGCCTCTGTCACAGCAACCTGGAGACAGTTTGGGAGAAGTCAATGACCCATATACCTTTGAGGATGGTGATATAAAATACATCTTCACAGCAAATAAGAAATGCAAACAAGGGGCAGAGAAGGAGTCCCTGAAAAAGAGCAAGGTACCACTTTCCACCAAGCCAGTCCGCTCGGTATGGGATTCTGTCACGTGTGGGAAGACTTGAGGCAGAATGTGTGAGGAAGCCTTGCCTGAGTGCTCTGCCCTCATGTTCATGCTCTTGGTGCTGTTGTAGCGAACAGCCTATTGCTCCTTTCTATGTCATGGCTCACCTTGTTCAAAAGTCAGCCGAGCATAAAGGAAGCTGCATACTTCCCAGGCTGTAGCTTGTACAGTGCATGTTTCCTCTCATATGCTAATTATTGTTGGCCTATGCTCCCTGTTTCTTTTAAAATATTTTCCAAAATACTTGAAATGTAAAACAAAAAGTACTGAGTGTAGTATCTATTTACTAAGCGCTTCTGTTTAAAGTGCTGTGCCTCTCTGCTCTCTGATTTCATATTAACACTATCCATAGATTGTCAGTATTAATTTGACTAGTTCCATTGTGATAAAAATGAGTACTGGGTGTGCCCGCTGTCTTTAACTTTAAATTTTAAGACATTCTAAAATACTGGGCCATTTAAAGAGTTGTTCTGGAGAGCCAGCAGAGCATAAGTATAACAGTTGAAAGAAGCCAGTAGAGGTGAGGGGAATGCTTTTTAGATTCCTTTACACTGTATGGAGATCTGTGAAGATCCAGAGGCTCTATCTATAACTCAGTATCTATAACATTACTAAAGGCAGCTTTTAACACCATAGCAGGTCTGTAATCACATGTCTGCCACCAGTACCATTTAAAAATTGACACTGATTCACTCAGAATACCCGAGAGGATTGAAGGGAAAGTGGGGGAGTTCTTGGTTCTGTATAAATTCCAGAGCAAGGACATGTCTTTGATTTCCTTTGGTTGCATAGACCATGGTTTATCATACTGTGCTCATAACAAGTTCCATTCAACGCGCTAATTCTTTGTGTTCTCCCTCATATTCCACACTTTGGGTTGGTGTTCATGTGTTTTGTTTGGCTGAATTTATTACACAGTCAGAGGATGGATTTGGTACCAAGGATGTCACTACACCAGGTCATTCCACGCCGGTGCCTGATGGGAAAAATGCCATGTCTATTTTCAGTTCTGCTACTAAAACAGGTGTGTACAATGATTATTTGACTCACTTGGATTGTTACTAAAGTAAAATGCAAAGGAGATGCATCTCGATTTTAAAGTATATTCTTATGGCTATAGCAGTAATTTGATCTCGGCTTTAATGTCCTTCATAGTTTGTTTTTCAGTTCCTTTCAAAACTGATAAACATATTTGGAAATCATTGTCTCTAAATTTAAGGAAGGCATAGGGAGAAAATTCCCAGGCAGATCTTGTTCATTGAGATCCATGTCCTTGACCTTTCCTCTCTCCCTCTCCCTTGTGGAGCCTGCTCATTCATTCTCTTTTGCTCCTTTCCTGCAGATGTCCGGCAGGATAATGCTGCTGGCAGAGCTGGCTCCAGTAGCCTTACACAGGTGACAGATTTGGCACCTTCCCTCCATGACTTAGACAACATCTTTGATAATTCTGATGATGATGAACTTGGGGTGAGTCTGCCATAGACACAAGTGGGGAGGGCTGTATGTCAGCATGTCAGTATTTCTGGTTTGATCTGCTGAACCTGATGGCCCTTATTTTAGGTTCTGAATGTTCTTCAGAAATGTTTCTGGGGCTGGAGAGATGCAGTGGTTAAGAGCACCGACTGCTGTTACAGAGGAACCCAGGTTCGATTCCCAGCACCCACATGGTGGCTATAAACCATCCTTAATTCCAGTCCCAGGGGATCTGACGCCCTTTCTGATTTCCTCAGGCATTGCATGACACAGGTGCACTCACATACACACAGGCAATACACTCATACACATAAAATAAAAATAATAAAAATTAAAAAAAATATTTCCGTGCCTTGAAAAGATTCACAAAGATATTTCTGTTTGTTCATACTTTTTGTTTGTTTTACATCAGATTTATTATAGTTGTAAATATTAAAATCTTTCACACTTACTTTAATGAAGCCATTGGAAATATGTTTCTTTAGATGACATTTTTCAAGTAATGTCCACAACACTTATCTAATAGGTTAGTGCACATGCCTCTGAGAGATGCATGTGTGCTCTGTACCTCGTAGGGTCGCGGTGCCGTGACTGGGAAATAGAGTGTGCACATGGTTGCTTTGACACAGAAAGAATTCTGATTCTTTAGAAGTCATCTGTGCCAAGAATCAGGAAATTTGTGTTCTTGTCCTCTTAATCTTTGTGCCTTTGGGCAAACACTAGTACCTGTTACTTCTCAGGGAGCTGGAGGTGAATAAGGTGGCTTTCTTTCCAAAGAACTTGGTTTATTAGTTTACTTTTGTCATTTATTTGCTTAATTTTCCTCCCTATCAATCCATGTTACATAAATTTTTAAAGAATTTTGATGATCTGTTTGTGGCAAATAACTGAAGCAATTATCAAATTTACACATTTGACTATTGCTACCTTTATACTAGAAACATCACAGACTTCAAACAGCATATAAAGTTACATTGTATCTCTTGTTAGGAGCTCACTTGCAGACCAGAATCTAAGGATACTGAACATTCAGCTAGAGTGGCAGCAGTGTTTAAATTAAGGTGTAAAGGTTAAGTAGGGATCAGACTTTGAGAGCTCCTTTTAACTTTGAATAAAATGTAGCTAATTAACAGTTCTTATATACCATTACTGTTGTAAGTACTTAGATGATGATGAGATCATAATGACCTTGAAGAATGGATTTGACTTGAGATGTGGAGAGATTGGGGTTGGTGAGAGCTGGGGAGGGGCATTAGTTTTAGTGTGGAATGAGCCCTGATTGTACAGCCAGAGAATAGCAGAGAAACACGCAGGTAATATGCTCCTCTGCTGGCTATGAATGTGGAACTGCTAGAAATGTGTGTTTTTGAAAAATCAATCTCATGTGTGGAAAACAAGAATCCTATAAGATACTTTGTTGGGTTGGAGCACAAGGATCTGAATTCAGGCTGTAACTACCTGAAAGAAAGGACATGGCATGTTTTTATTGCTGATTTAGGCATTGGAGATCCTCTGTGAACTTGGCTAGCTCTTAGAAGCCAAACACCGACTAGGATCGGTGTTAATGATCTGGATGGAGCACCACATTAGTGTTTTGGGGTAGTGATGTTGAGAATAAAGTTAGAAAGAAAATGAGTCAAAGTCAAAGAAGTAAAAAGCAGGCAGTAAATGAGGTTAAAAAGAGCAAGAGCTATGGATTGGTGTGTGTTATTAATTGCTACCATTAATAGTAATGACTGGTGTCTGCTCTGAGGCCTTGATTTTATTCCTTGTATAAATTATAAGTTACTATTGGACTTAATGAAGATGTGGTTAAATTTTGGGGATATATTTAATATATACAAAGGAGATTGAATTTTTTAGTTGAATTTTCATTTCTTTGAAATGATATTTTCTTTTATTTCTACTCTACTATTTAATGACATGAATTGTTTACTAGTTAAGTGGAGTTGGGAGGCTGCTTAATTCATGTGTTTGAATTTTTGCATTTCACCATACATAAGTATAAATATGCAAAAGAATTCTGTTTGTAAGAATTTTTATTTTATTGTTTGTACTTTATTTTATGACCAGTTCATTTGAGTTCTTAAAAATAATCTTACCTGTTAAGGAAATTAATTTGTTTTGAATAATGATCAGGGTGTCTGTTTATTTAAAGATTGCTATAAAATATAGCTTTTTGTGAAGATTAATGTTAACTATCAGAATAGGAATAGAAGGTGCATGTTGTGGTAAAAAATAAAAATGATAGCTTTGGAGATGATGAGGCCATCTGTTTTAGCTGCTTCCTTCCCAAGCAAGAAAAGCCAGACCAGTTTTCAGCTAGAAGCACTGCCATCAGGTGACTACCATGTTCATGAAACTTACGCTTGTGATGGTCCAGAAGGGTGGCGTTGCTAAAGGCCTGCACTCTCAATCTGATGGCACGGTCTGCCTCTGCCAGGCCCAAGGAAAGAGACTCAGCTTCTCTTTGGAGGAGCTTGTTATCTTTTCTTTGTCTCTGGCAGTTCTAGTTCATCTACTGAATGCTACTTGAGAAAGCGCTTTTCCTTATCTTAAGTGTCAGCAGGCGTACACTTCAGAATGTTGGACTGCTGCCCTGGTTGTGTTCTAAATACAAACTCTGTTCTTAGGCTGTATCCCCTGCACTGCGCTCATCCAAAACGCCTGCTGTTGGGACTGAAGATCGACCTCTCGGGAAGGATGGAAGAGCTGCTGCTCCTTACCCACCAAGTATGTGGAGGAGCCAGCTGGGCTGCTGCTCACTACCTGTGACTTCTGCATCATGCTGGTGTACTCAGTGGTGCTGTCTCAGGAACTCTCCTCCTGTTTTTCCTTTTGATAGATTTCTGTGAATTAAAACTTGTATAAGTTAGCTTTTCTGAGATAGCAAGCAGCTAATCATATATAGAAACTATCTTAATTTAAATTCATATTCTTTTGTTTTCAAACTAAAACTTGACCTATAGTTTACAGTGTAGGAAAAAATATTTGGGGGTTTGTTTTTCTAGTAACTCTTTTCTTGTAGGTCAGATGCTGCACACTTTTGTTTTAATTGATACTCCACTAAGAAATTGCACTATTTAAAATTCAGTTTTCCTAAATTTAGTTGATGCAAGGATAATGGATATTTATCTTCAAGATTTTATGTCTTTTTTGAGGTACCTGATTTTATAACATATGCTGATGAGAGCAGAGAACTTCTTGTATAATCTTTGATAGGAGAGAAGAAAGTTGAGGTGGCTCTCTACAGACTCCAAAGCAGAGACATAATCCATTGCCAATCATTCTTTAATACCTTCTCATTAACTTCAGCTGCTAATGAGAACAAATTGAGGGAAAAACCACCATGTCATAGGGATGCGTCCAAAAGCTTTATGAACCTATAAATGTAATGCTGATTTACTCAAATGTAGAAGTGGGAAGTACACAGAGATTAGATTTTGACAGTTTTAGTAGATCCGAGCTTTTTAAAATATACAAAGCTTTCTTCAGCGTGACATGGATGGAGATGAGTAATGACAGCCAGTTGCTATAGTTTTTTTAATTAAACATTTATTACTCTGCATTGTAGAATTCTGCAAACATGGAATTTCAGATTAAAGAAACAGATAAATATGGGGTATATCAGGTGAAAGAATCAAGTTATTCTTTCCACTTCTTGACAGGAAGTGAAACGTAGCAGTGGGAGACATTGTAGTGCCTGAAGACTTATCAGAGCTGTCCACTCAGACATCCTCCTAGTTAGCATCCCGACCTAATGAATTAGACTGTATGTGCTATGTTTCATTTTTATTCATAAGGAATTATTTCAGAAAGAACCTATTCAAAATTTGTTGATAAAGTATGTGTTGTAAAAATTCGTCGAAATACAGCACAGAGCCTGGCATGGTGGCACATACCTTTAATCCCAGTACTTGGGGGGCAGAGGCAGGTGGATCTCTGTGAGATCGAGGCCAGCTGTGGCTACAGGGAGACCCTGTCTCAGGAAAAAATTAAAAAGTAAAAAAGTAAAAATTAAATAAATAAATAAATAGATAAATAAAACACAGAACCAGATAGTAGAACCAGAAAGGTCCAAATAAAGTATGTGTGTGAATCAGTGCTGTTGGGGTGGGGTGGGGTGCATGTGTTTGGGGAGAGTGATGTGTAGACGCACACTGTATTTCTTCCTTGGAAACGATAGCAAAAATAGATTGGCATGAAGTTTTCATCTGTACTTAGCTTTACTGGACATGGACGTAAGAAGATGGGTGTGTTATGAAATGTAATATTTACATCAGCAGTGTACAATAGGATACAAAGTGAGCTACAGTGATAGCCACACATATAATTTAAAACTTTATAGCTATATTAAAAATTTATTAAAGTCCATGAAATTAATTTTGTTAACAAATTTCTATTGAACTTGATGTATCCAAAATGCTGTCTTTGCATGTAATCACGTATGAAAAGTTATTGTTTACTTTTGGTAGTAGTCTTTGGAACTGATGTGTGTTTTACATATGCAACTCATCTCAGTTGGGTCCGGTCCAGCCCTGTTCTGAATGGTCAGTAGCCAGTTGTGGCTAGTGGATACTGGCCGAAAGGAATGGATCCATAATTATTAATTTGTGTATCTAACAATGAAAGATCAATACACTAAAACAGACCATTTACCTATGAATTTCTTTGAAATCCTATCTTTTTGAAGACTGAGTCTTAGAAAAGGCAAAAATTTGAAGGAGTTTGATTTTTGAGTTTGATTTTTTTATTCTCCAAGAGCACTTACCCCTGTACGGGGTTCTGCTTCTTATTCTGAGGTAGAAAGGATCCTGAGGAAGTATCCAGTATAGGGTGATGGTGGTGGAGTACAGGACAGCTGGAAAGATCAGCAGGGTAGACAACCCCCTCTAGTCATTTCTCTAGTTGTCTCCCCCTCACTTCAGTCATTCTCTAGCAACAGAGTTGTACTGGCAAACCATGCATCTGTTTTGGAAGAGCATCATTTGTTTCTGAGGGTCTCTACTTTCTGCTCTACACACCCTGAAGCCAGTTCTATTTGGCATCTCAGTTCATTTGGATCAGCTATTCAGAGCTCCTGTAACTGAATAGTATTTTCATCTTTTTCCAGTCAAACCTTAATTGGGAGTTTGGATTCCATTGGACTGATTTCATCACTTACTGTATGTTTAGGTATACATGGTGAGAAGCTCACTTCTGTGCCTGTACTATCTCATCTATTGTGCAGAGTGTGAGGTAGATGTTAGTACCATCTTATGGATGAGAATTGAAGGTAGAGAGGTTGAAAGTCTTCCTTAACAATATCTGCTAGTATAAAAGTTGAGGACCACTTTGTAAAGAGGACGTGTGGCAGATAAAATTGCATCTTTTATGGTTTCTCTTACCTTTTATAAAAATTAACAGGGTGACCAAGGCTTCAAAAACATAGGTATATAGCTTTGTTAGGTAGAATTAATTAGGGTAAGCACAAGCATCTATGTATACATGGGTTACATTTCTTACAGGAAATTTAAAAATTGAGATAACAATGCTATTTATGTATTTTAATTTTTAAGTTAGCATTCAAAGTTAGCATTATGGCTCCATAATGGCATTTTTATACACATATGTCATTCATTTTTTCCTATTCATCTTCTTCCTTCATAGCCCTACAGTCCATCCTTCTGTAGAGCCACTTTTTTGGAAAAATCTTTTACTGTAGTCAGAAAATAAAGGCTGTGTAAGCATATTATTTTGACTCCAAGAGAATTAGACTTTGATGTCATATTAAGGTTTTGTGGAGTCTACTCTGCCTGGGAAAGGGTAAAGGCAGGGGATGCATTTCTCAAGTCAAACGTAACTTACTAGTTTTCTGCTTTATTTTAAAGAACATATATTGATCTGGTTGGAGATTATTTCTCCACAGAACCTCTAAGTTGTATATGGTATCTCAAATAGTTGACTTGGCTTCTCTCCCTAGTTTTAGGAATTACTCAGTTCCTTGTGGGTAGAATGTTATCATAGCAAGTAGGTTCCTTGACCTTGAGCTTGGGGTTTTAATTCTTTTTCTTCACTGTAGCAAATACCACTTTGCCTAATGAAATCTTACGCAAATCCTACTCTAACCAGACAACCAATAGACATAAAGGGTCTCTTATGGAAGTGAAAGTTGAGACCCATCCCTTCTTCTTGCTTTACAGAGAACAGTTGAGGCCAAGAGGTGGGAAATGACTTAGGACCATATAATTCTTTTACTAGGAAACATGATAAAAATGTTGAAATCCAGAGGTTCTTGCCCTTTTTTCTGCCTCCATATACTGAAGCTGTTGGAAGCTCCCTTGTCCCAAAGCGAAGCTAGCAGGCCTATTAAGAATTCCATACCTAGCGAAGACTTCTTGCTTACTAGATGAAGTAACTTAAGCCCTGAAGAAAGAAAGAGTCCCAACCATAGCAGAGCTCTGCCTAGAGAATGTGAACCCAGCTCCCTGGGCCTGTCTTCTTAACACAGGTCTGCTAGAGGTTATAGCTCAGGGCAGAACCAGTCCTTATTAATTTCTGGTTAAGAACTAAAAGTCAGATCATAGTCTGCTGAGTGGTCAACTGTTTGCCCTATTTAAATTGTGGAGTTGCTAGAAAGACAGGAGAGGAAATGGGGACATCACATAAACTCCAATTCCAAACACAGGGTACCCCCTAGTGGCCAACTTGTGCAGTTATAACTTGCATTTTATTAGGTGCAGCCTACTTTCAAGAACCAGAACTTTAATGAGCCTCTGCTATTACATTATTAATATTAATATTGCTTTAAAAGGATTTAAATGTGGATATTTTTGAGTTTTCCTTTCCCTCTTTGCTGGTGATTGAACCTAGGGCATCACACAAACTTAGTATGCACTCATCACTAAACTAACATCCCTGGTCACTAAATATTTCTTAAAATATATGCCATACCCTATTGATTTCCAATATATTATGTTTTGGTTCTAGGTAGTATTATTAATCCTAACTCTAAAAGTTTTATATTAATAGAAGGAGAGTGTGGAGTCAATTTCTCAAAAGAGCAGTACCAAGTGATCCTACTACATAAAAACCACCATCCTGGCTCTAAACAATTTTTATGTTCTGTAATATTTCAAACACAATTGCAAACAAAGATAGAATTCTTCATAGTGTAATTGCTCCATCAAACTGCTTCCAGTTTCTGCTTATCTCCTTTGACTTTTCAGAGACTCAATTGTTGGAAGGAAAATACACATTACGTAGACTTTGTTCACTTAATTAATGTGAAGCCATATCATAAACTATGAAGAGGAGGATGGCAAAATTTGTGCGCGGGGGGTGGTCTTTTTTGCAACCAGGTCTCTCCGTAGCTCCAGCTGGCCTAGAACTCACTATGTAGACAGGCTGGCCTTGAACTCAGAGACCCACCTGCCTCTGCCTCCCAAGTGCTGGGATTAAAGGCATGCACCACCATGCCCAGCAAGAACAGTATAAATCTCTACAGATGACCTGTATCTTGATGTTCTGTTGTACAACTGGTGTGGCTATCCAGCACTGTTCAGAGCACCTAATTGGATACCTGGCTATATATTAGGATTTTATTTTAGAAGTCTTGCCTATTGAAAGAATGTACCACCTTCTCCTCCCCCTCCTCCTCCTCCTCCTCCTCCGGATGTTCCCTACCCCTCCATCTTTGGAACAACATCCTGCATTTTCTCCTGTGATGAATTATAAAGATGGAGTAAGTTCAGAGACAGTGACAGCATTGGGTATGATGGAGAGTCCTATGGTCAGTATGGTTTCCACACACCTCACAGAATTCAAAATGGAAGTAGAAGATGGATTAGGAAGTCCCAAGCCAGAAGAAATAAAGGTAATCATTATTTTATTAACTTCCCAAAGACAGGATGGCTTCCAAGTAGACGCCTATACACGCTCTTTAACATACTGTTATCTGTGTGCCATAAACACATAAGTTCCCAAGAAGCTTGTAAGTTGGAGAACACATTACATCACTTGGCATATTAATTATAGTGTCCTTTGCTTATTTAAAAATTTTGGCATTAGGGACCAGAGAGATGGCTGAGTGGTTAAGAGCACTTGCTGTTTTTCCAGAGGAGTGGAGTTTAGTTCCCAGTAGTCATATTCGGCGGCTCACAATTGCCTGTAACTCCAGCTCCAGGAGTTTTGTCACTCTTTTCTGGTTTCTACTAGCACCCACATAAGGGAGTTCATGTATACACACATACATATGCATAAAAATAAAGTCTTTAAAATAAACAAAAATATCGGCATTAGAGTATTTGTACCCATTATATAAGAGGATGTTATGTTAATGAAGTACTGAGTAACTCTGGCATGTTCCAGTTTGCCAGCATTAACACCAACCCCACATTGTTGTCACAGGACTTTTCATATGTGCACAAAGTTCCACCCTTCCAACCTTTTGTGGGATCCTCCATGTTTGCTCCACTGAAGATGTTGCCGAGCCATTGCCTGCTACCTCTGAAGATACCTGATGCCTGTCTGTTTCGGCCTTCATGGGCAATTCCTCCTAAAATTGAACAACTGCCCATGCCCCCTGCAGCCACTTTCATTCGAGATGGCTACAAGTATGTACAGGGACTCTGCCAATTACTTGCCATATTTCATGTCTTCTTTTTTTTTAACCATTTCTTAAGTATTTGTTATAAGTGATGACAGCAGCATACCGTGTAAAACTTTCATGTGTTGGCCATTCACGGTTTTGGTTTTGGTTTTGTTTGGGGAGGTGGTGTTGAGGCAGGGTCTCCCTGTAGCCCCAGCTGGCCTGGAACTAGTTATGTATACCAGGCTGACCTCAATCTCACAGAGATCCACTTGCCTTTGTCTCCCGAGTGCTGGGATTAAAGGTGTGCACTACCATACCTGACCTATTCATGCTTTTGTATATGTTGTCTTGTGTTGAAAATGTATATTTAATTGTAAGTGGAATTTTGTATATTTTGACAAACTAAGGTTATTTGTAGAGAGCTATGTATTTGTGCTTATTCATTGTCAAACCAGTATTTACCTAATCAAGAATCAATCACTTGATGAGAGTTGATAATATTTGTGGGTGGTGGTGGTAAGAATTTCGTGTGATGATTTCAATGTATTACTTAAAGGGACTTTAAAATTAGGAAAGTGGCAACAAAATAGTAGTGTCATTTAGGAAAGTAGAAAAAGATGTTTATCATGACTTGGGCATTTCATACTGCCCAGAAAAATAGGACTTATATCAACAGTGTAGACTCAGTGAATTTTCGCTGAAATAATTTATTAATCAGATAATTTAAATGCTATAAAAAATAAAAAGTCACAAACTCAAATTTATATCCGGGACAGGTAGGTAAGTGGATGAAATGATCAGGGTAAGTACAGCTTGGTGATGCTTCTCTGCACAGCATCACTGAGGGGTAGTCAGGGCTGCAGCATGTACCCCGTTCTAAGGGACATTTGCTACTCAGTATTTGAGCAGGAGTAAGGTCAGTGTGGAGGAATGGAAATCTGAACTTCAATATATATTTTTCTACCATAAAGTGTTAACAGCTAATTCAAAGAAAAGCTTTAAGGGCCAGTAAAATGAATTTGTAGTTCAGGACCCATTCTGTGGACCACACATTTGTGATCTCCTATAATTCAATTGTAATTCAATAACCAGATTTCTAATTTGTTTATGTAGTCGGTATCAGAATGAAAAACTGTGATGGAAATGTGATAGAAGGACCCTAGACTTGAAAGCCAGAGCTGTAGTGTCATAGGACATTCCTGACTTCTGAAAATTCTATGTATGGCCTTAAAGGACCAATTTACCTGAATCTTTCTCTCTTTCAAATGGAGTGATTCTGCCCTGACTCCCACCCAGAACTTTTGAAAGGCTCTAGCAACTGATGGTTGTGGACATCACAGTGCTCCAGCAATAGGAAAGCTCAGAAGCACTGCTCTGTGAGCACTGACTTGTGGTTGCTGCTCTGCTGCATCTTGCTTATTTAGATACTGGTTCAATACCACCAGACACCCTGGGACACAGATTAGTTAGTGCTGGCCCTCTCCAATGAATGAGGCAGCAGCTTCAGGAACCATTCAGTAGTTTAACCTTACACACACACTCCACACACCACACCCCCATGCTGCCACACTCCCCCACCACACACCTGCACCCCCTGCAAGGCTTTATTGGTTATAGTAACCTAGATTATTGTTTCCACCATTACGTTTCTCTTTTGTCATCCAAAGATTAGACCCACACTCTTAATAAAACTTTCTGTGATGAAAGAGGTGTTTTATATTTCACCAATTAATAGTATAGCCTCTGCCCATGTGTGGTAATTGTTGTCCACTTAATGTGTGGTTAGTGAAACCAAGACTGAATTTTTAGCTCTATTTCATTTAAATCAAACACTGGGATCTAGCAGCTCCTTACTGAGCAGCACAGTTCAAGACTGTAATGTTCCTGCTATGGTGTACAGTCTCCATCAGCGTGGGCTCAGCCTTGTCAAGCTGAGCACACCTGCAGTCATTCACCTCAGGTCTGCTGTACGTGGCACCAACTTTCCTTTTTCTCTGTTGAATGTTCAGCTTCTACACAGAGTTGGTGTTCAGTTTTTTATACTGAATGAGAAAAATGAGGCTGCTAAATATGATTGAATATTTTTTACTACCCAGAGAGCACTTCAATTATTTGGATTTTTCAGCTAGCAGTCATAGTTTCTGTTTTGACCCAAATTGCAGAGTCATTTTAGGATATTTGTTGAACAGGAAAATTTAAAAGGAGTTCAATTAGAATGAATATCATTATTTATTGCACTTAACTATTTTGGTCTCTGAGAAACCAGTAATTACCAATCAAATTTCTGAGTCATTTGTTACTATGTTTTTATTTATTACTATACCCATGCTTAAAATTTCTTTATAATGCTTGATGGATATTTGGACTAGTAGTGTAAGTATTAAAAATCACAGAAAGTTAGCTAACAATAATTTCTTTTTGACATCCTTCATTTCTGTTATAAGTGAAAGAATATGTAGTTTACTGGAGGAACATTGTTGTAAACACAGGATTTATATATAGAAAATATTAAGACTGAAAAGCTTGTATTTTTGATACCTTGTAAGTACAGAGAACGGACTCAAACAGTGTTTCATAGGTATGTCAGAGTATATTGAGGATGTGTTTTACAGTGAGAAAACTACCAAACGTTGCAGACACTTATTCTCTGCCTGGCTTTTTTTCCAAGTCACTGCTTACAAGATCAGTCTTGGGGAATGAAAGTAATTATATGATATGTGTAATATATAACACATTGAAAAATAAAAGACAAGCTGGAAGCATCCAGCACTCTGCAGAAATCTCTTCGCACCTGGTAACCATGATGCTATGCACCCTTAACTCCTGAGCTGTGTATATTAGAACCTGCCGCACATGCACTGTTTCTGTTAATTGTAGTGCAGAACTGGCAAATGGGCTCCCTAATGGTCACTTGTTACTGTAAAAATGCAAGCTTAGATGGGGCTGCACTTTCAAAATTAGAAAAGTGTTAAATTTTCATGTGTATTTGATTACAACTACTTTACTATCATATATAGAATTATGCCCTCAGAGAACAAGTACATTGGCAGACTTTCAATTTCCAAAAAGGACAAAAATGCAATTGCAAATTAGATGGTAATTCCATCCTGTAGAACTCTGGCTAGTCTAGCATCTGAACACATGTGCTCCATTAATAGTTACAGCTTTTCAAAAATCATGTTGACCAAACCCAGTATCATGTTTTCTTATAGAAATGGTATAAGTTTCCTCTAAAGGTTAAAGTAAGGACTTATCTAAATGTGGAACAAGTAGAAGGGAAGTGCTATGTGTATTCTTCACACTTTGTTTCTTACTCTCTCCCTCTCACCCTCCCTTCTCTTCTTTTTGAAAGAGAATTGCACGTACCAAGTGATAAGTGCACAGCTGTGGTTTGGGGTATGTATTGGTCTGGCATCTGTGGCCTGCTGCTCTTTCTCACATGGTACCTTGTTTGTTACAGTAATGTGCCTAGTGTTGGAAGCCTAGCAGATCCAGACTATCTGAACACGCCACAGATGAACACGCCAGTGACACTGAACAGTGCTGCCCCGGCTAGCAACAGTGGGGCAGGAGTTCTCCCATCTCCAGCCACCCCTCGCTTCTCTGTCCCCACACCACGAACCCCCAGGACTCCAAGAACTCCTAGAGGTGGGGGCACCGCCAGTGGCCAAGGGTCTGTGAAATACGACAGCACTGATCAGGGGTCACCAGCCTCTACCCCCTCTACCACAAGGCCCCTTAACTCTGTGGAACCTGCCACCATGCAGCCAATTCCTGAGGCCCACAGTCTCTATGTCACCTTGATTCTCTCAGATTCTGTGATGAACATCTTTAAGGACAGGAACTTTGACAGCTGTTGCATCTGTGCCTGCAACATGAACATCAAAGGGGCGGATGTCGGGCTTTACATCCCCGATTCTTCCAATGAGGACCAATACCGCTGCACCTGTGGATTTAGCGCAATTATGAATCGTAAACTTGGCTACAATTCTGGGCTCTTCCTTGAAGATGAGTTAGATATTTTTGGGAAGAATTCTGATATTGGCCAAGCTGCAGAAAGGCGCTTAATGATGTGTCAGTCCACCTTTCTTCCTCAGATGGAGGGAACCCGAAAATCCCTAGAGCCACCCATAAGCCTTCTCCTCCTTCTCCAAAATCAGCATACACAACCTTTTGCTTCTCTAAGCTTCCTGGATTACATTTCCTCAAACAATCGTCAGACTCTTCCCTGTGTGAGTTGGAGTTACGACCGGGTGCAAGCGGATAATAATGATTATTGGACTGAGTGCTTTAATGCATTGGAGCAGGGGCGGCAGTATGTGGATAATCCCACAGGTGGAAAAGTAGACGAGGCTCTGGTGAGAAGTGCCACTGTGCACTGTTGGCCTCACAGCAATGGTAAGTGTCCCAGAATGTAAATTTGTGGCAAAAAGTTATCTTGGTGCAACAGTATTGTAAAAGCTGTTTTTACTATGTCACAAAAATTTAAGATCACTCACCTCTTTTTAAAACTAAAAGGAACAGAAGTGAGGACTGGGCTGATTTCATTTCCTATTGAGCAGTGTGTGTTGGGGAGTGGGGTTTTCTACTGAAACACCTTCGGAGAAAAGTAATTTTGTCCTAAAAATCTGTAGGATAGACAGCAGGGTCTATTGTAGGGGATTTTCATCCTAGATCAAGATCACTCTGAGGAGAAGCGTCGTAAATGGAGTTTGGGAGGTACAGAAGTTTTACAGATCCCCTTTGAGTAGTCTATGTGGAAAGAGCAAGTAGATATTAGAAGTTAGCCTGTGGGTGATGACTGCAGTCAAGGCACAGAGAAAGTAATTGAACAGGAGGGAGTTGTAGAATGAGCACTGCGCCAAGGGCAGAGGTGAGCCAAATGTTGAGAGAGGAAGCACTGGAAGCCTGGTGAGGAGCCAGAGAAGGTAAAAAGAGAGGGGGTCCTGTTTTACTAATTTATTATTTTTACTTTATGTGTATGAGTATATTGCCTGCATGTGTATAAGTGCACCTGTGTCATGGAGTGCCCACGGAGGTCAGAAGTAGGCATCAGGTCCCTTGGAACTGGAGTTAAAAATGGTTGTTAGCCACCATGTGGGTACTGGAAATCGACCTGGGTCTTATGCAAGAGCAGTCAGTGCTCTTAACTGCTGAGCCATCTCTCCAGCCCAGCGAGTTCTATTTTGGAAGGCTATAGGGATATCAGCAGTCCAGAAAGAATGGCCAGTGAGCATTAAAGTGATGAAACATGTCTTCTGAACCTAGGGAGCTGGGTCTGGGGAGCAGAGGGAACAGAGAGAGGCCAGACTTGAGTGGTAGGAATAAGGTTTTGAACAATTTCATCTCGCGGGCTGGAGAGATGGCTCAGCAGTTAAGAACACTGACTATTCTTGCAGGTTTGAATACCAGCACCCACATGGCAGCTAACAACTGTCCGTAACTCCAACAGTCTCTTCTGTCCTCCGTGGGCACTGCACGACACAAGTGTACTTATCTACATGTAGGCAATACATGCATACATATAAAATAAAAATAATAATAAAAAAAATCTCATCTCTCAAGGGTGAGGATCATAGCTACCCCAGATATAGACTGGAATATAGCATAATAAAAGTGTCCAGAAGATAGACGTCAGTAGATTAGGGGAACATGTGTGTCTTGGGAGTAGGCCAAGCAAGGAGTGCTTCCTAGAGGTAACAGTACCAAGAGTTGTCCTCATTTTTGATAACTGCTTAGCTTCAAACACAGGGGGCTGTGCCTAACAGTCCCTGAAGTAATATCTACTGAATGAATTTATGAAGTAAAGAAAATGTGACCTTTCCTCCAAAATGTTGAATAAGCAGCTTGGGTGGCCCTTTTCTCTACATTGTGGCCACAGGTCAGAAAAGCATTCTATGCTTTGATTGGTGCTGTCATCTTTCCATGTGAGGAATTATGTATCTTATTGCAGGGCAAGTCTGACTATGATAAGATGATTAAAAGTAGCAGATAGTATTATAAGTGAATGAGGTTGCAAAGAGCAATACCTTAAACTGTATCCTTTCAAAACACTTTATTTTGTATTCACACATAGAGTTTACTTGCTTGTTTTTCTCATTTGTGGTCCTCTTTATTCTGTCCCCACTTTTGGTGGAGGCTTTGGTACAAGCAGTACTTTGCTGTGGTTCTTTACTGTAAATAAAAAGGAGACATAGCTTAAAGATAAAGGGCGATAAGCACTGCTTCAGATTGTTGGGCAGGAACCTGGGGAGAAGTACCTGAGGGAATAATCGCCGCTTGGCTGGGCTCAGCTCTTGCATATAAAGCTCTTTCCTCTGGCTTGTCAGATCTCTGTTTCTCAAGAGAAACTGGAAACCTATGTTTGTTTATGAAAATTTCTAGAGTGATTTATCCCAGAATTAAACAACCCCAAAACTCTGTTGGACTACAAACTTGAAGCTGTCTAGTATTGATTCAGGAATATAATATAAATATCCTATGAACGCTTGAGTACCTCGTGTTTTAGATTTAGCTGGCAGATACATTTTAGATTGCTATCCAATTCTTTTTCTAATCAGAAAAGTAGAGTGTCCACCTGCATGAATTCCCAGCCTGCTTCTCCAGCCTCAGTGTTGCCACAGACCATTTTTAGAATCTGATGAGCAGTATAGCTCCTCCATCCCAGGACCAGCACTCATATCCATACATGTATGCAGCAGTCCTGCATGGAGGCTCAGAGGCTGCTTTCCCATTCTAAGAAGCTCTTCCCAGGGTAACTGTTTGCAGAAGTATTTAAGCCATGGGCACTTTGCCTTCCTTGTCTGCATGCAGATGGCCTACAAGTGCTGCGCCCTATAGGTGTCCTTGTGCCTCAAGCTGTAGTGAAGGTCTTATAAAGATATTTATGCATTCTGTGTCTTATAAAGATATTTTATATTAAGAACATTCTAAAACTTTTTCAAGGCCTCCGGTTTTGTCCTCAAATAGTTAAAATACTGATATTTGTAAATGAAAATAATATAATTGAGAAATTTTTTGTTTCTTTTTAAATTGTTTATTTAATAACCACATACTTAGAAGAAGCATTTCATTATGACAGAATTGACATATTCGATAACAATTTTTTGAGCTAAGATGCATCTCTGAAAATTGGCTGTAAATTTTTAGGTCTACAGTTGAATTATTATAGTTATACAATATTGTACTCAGTATAAACCCTATAAGACATAAAATTAAATGAGGTTTTATTTTATTTTTCTGATCTCCATTTCACCCCCTACTTCAATCTTCTCTGTGCTTTTCTTCCCATTCTATGGGAACCAGGAAGGTAATGTGGGCCTTCACAAGGATAGCAAGGCTCTTGGG